CAGATGTATATTCAAAAATTAAAAAGCAAGACAAATAGCTCCTGGCAAGTTCCGACTCCCTGAAGGCAAGGGCGGCATGAAAGTGGCAGAAGCAGCACTAAGTCATTCGGGACTAAGCTCATGAACTAAGCGAACTGGACTGAATTGAACCAAGCAAAGATGGAGAAATATGGAGGGCATAGCAGCCCACCATTTTTATTCCCTCTAACTCCAGGCCCCAGAGAGAGAGAAATGACTAAATCTCGATTTTAATAGCTGCTGTCAAGAGTTTTGCTCTGTAGGGCCTATTTCAGCCGTTCCTGGTGGTAATATATGGCATTTTCGTGATTAACAGCCATTTTATAACTTGGGTAATTGGCCACAAATCAGGGAAATGTCATAATGTAGCAAGAAAACATTCCAATCTCCATCATGGCCTTGGCTTGGCTTTCTGGAGGAATTATTACTTGAGGAGTCTGTGGGTTTTCATTACATTAAATAATGTACTACCTGGAGTAAAAAACAGGACGTTTAAACGAATGAACATTTCTGTTTCCTCGCCCTTTCTACCATGCCATCATTCGATTTATTTTTCTCTTGGAAAAATCCCTAAATATGGAATTGTTCCTTGATCTTTCTAAGAGCAGTATTTCGGAGGGGAAATAGAAGCAAACAAAGGGATGTGTATAGGTGAGTGGATAGGTCAGGGGAGTAAGGTACTCAGCCTATGTGTGAAAGGGACACCCCCAAATTCAATCGTCACCATAAATTATCTACGTTAAATATTTTTTAAAATCCAAGTTAATGTAACAATTCCACAATGAAAATTATATCAGCTATTTTAAAACCACAGCACAAATAAAGACTCTGACCAGGATGACTCGCTTCATTGTCCTCCAGTTATTTCTTTAAATCATTTTATTGGGGGCTCGTACAGCACTTATCACAATCCATCCATCCATCCATGTGTCAAGCACATTTGTACATTTGTTGCCATCATCATTTTCAAAATATCCTCTTTCCACTTGAGCCCCTGGTATCGACTTCTCCTTTTTTCCCCTCCCTCCACCACCCTCCCTCCCTCATGGACCCTTGGTAATTTATAAATTATTATTATTTTTTCATTTCTTACACTGGCTGAGGTTTCTCTTCACCCACTTTTCTGTTGTCCATCTCCCCGGGAGGGGGTTATATGTAGATCCTTGTGATCACTTTCCCCCTTCCCCTCCCCCCTTCCTCTTCCCTTCCTGGTATTGCTATTCCCAGTATTGGTCCTGAGGGGTTTATCTGTCCTAGATTCCCTGTGCTTCCAGTTCTTATCTGTACCCATGTACATGCTCTGGTCTAGCCAGATTTTTAAGGTAGAATTAGGCTTCTGATAGTGGGTGTGTGTGGGGGAAGCATTAAAGAACTAGAGGAAAGTTGTATGTTTTGTTGGTGCTATATTGCGCCCTGTCTAGCTCATCTCTTCCTTGTGATCCTTCTGTAAGGGGATGTCTAACTGTCTACAGATGGACTTTGGGTCTCCACTCTGTGCTCCCCCTCATTCACATTGATATGATTTTTTTGTTCTGGGTTTTTGGTACCTGATACCTGATCCCTTTGACACCTCATGATCACATAGGCTGGTGTGCTTCTTCAATGTGGGTTTTCTTGCTTCTCAGCCAGATGGCCACTTGTTTACCTTCAAGCCTTTAAGACCCCAGATGCTATATCTTTTGATAGCCAGACACTATCAGCTTTCTTCACCACATTTGCATATGCACCCATTTGTCTTCAGCGATCATCTTGGGAGGCTGAGCATCACAGAATGCCAGGTTATTAGACCAAAGTGTCCTTGCGTTGAGGGAAGACTTGAGTGGAGGTCCAATGTCCACCTGCTACCTTAATACTTAGCATATAAATATAAGTATATAGATCTATTTCCTTATCATTATATATAAATATACTTACATATGTCTATACCTGTATTTAGACCTCTATAAATGCCCATTTGCTTCCTATTTTTTTCCTCTATTTCCTTTTACTTTCCTCTTGTTCCACTATAATGTCTTGCCTTCATTTGCGTCTCAACAATTCCTCTCAGTTACATTGGCCTTGATCAAGTCCTACCAGGCATCCTACACCCTTCTCACCATCAATTTTGGATCACTTGTTGCTCCCTTGTCCCTGGGTTTGTTAGCACCCACTTCCTTTTCCCTGCCTCCCCCTCTACCGTGTCCCCCTGGTATCTTCGGTCCCATTGTTTTCTCCTTTGGATTTTTTATCCTGCCTATCTTATCTAGATAGATATGCAGAGACAATAATAAGCACAGAAACAAGACAGAGAAAAAGAAAACAAAACAGCAACAACAACAAAAATCGGCCCTCCTCCAGTTCTTATCCTTGTGCAGGTGTATTCACCAGGAAGGCAGCTGTTAGGAGCACTCGCAGTGACTCTGTGTGACAGAGAAGGACTGCTGCACCAGCTTGCCCATCTATAATCTGTAGGAATCTTGGTGGCACAGTAATTAAGCACCCAGCTATTAAGATAGAGGTTGGAGCTTTGAACCCCGAGTTGTTCCATGGGAGAAATGCATGGCAGTCTGCTTCCATAGCCTCTGAAACCCTATGGAGCAGTTGTCCTCTCGCTATAAGGTTTCAGTGAAGTCAGAATTTACTAGGCGGCATGCCACAATAACAATTTTTAAGGAAAAATGTCATCAGGTTTTTCTGCTGTGGAGCAACTGGATAGATTTGAACTGCTAAGCTTTTGGTCAATAGCCAAGTGGGATAGGAAGGAGTGACCACAACCCAAGTGACCACAATTCCCCCATTCCATAGGGAGCAAACTTTGGCTTTTAAAGTCACTCTTTGGGTTATGCTCAACTACTTCTTAGGTAGGATTATATATATGTATATGTATATATATATATATATAAAAAGAAAGAGTCTTATTTCACTTATCATAAATCCACTCATCTACTCTCATTGCCATCAAGTTGATGCCAACCTATGGTGACCCTATGGCAGGGAGAAACTGCCCCCGTGCATTCCTTACAGTGTAACTTCACAGGAGCAGAAAGCCCCTTCTTTCTCCCACGGAGTGGGTTTCGAACTGCAGACCTCGGGATCACAGCCCAACTGTTGCATAACTCCTATGCTACCAAGGTTCCTCCACACAATCCCAAGCATTTTCCTCTCAAGAGTGCCATCTATAATGGAGGCAGACATCATACTTTCATATCATCTCATATTGGAGACCAAAGACCATTAAGGTATGCTAAATACAAATAATTGTTAAGACTTCTTCTCTTCCTAAGATAAGTAAAGGCCAATATCATTCTTTTAGGTAAAAAAGCAATATATAAATATTCATATTATATATAAAGTTTACATAAGGTTATATACAAATTTATATGTATATTATATATAAAGTTATATAATTTAAATATATATGTATAGGTATAAATTATAATTTATATAGGTGATTAATTTGAGTTAGTCACTATGTACTAGAACTACAGAATCAAAAAGCCTTTATCTCTAATGTCATTCAGATAGAAACATAAATCCATGGTGGTTTGGCAAGTCTGTCCAAAACGTGTTCAGAGAGCACCAGTTCTGTTGGGTTGATTCCAGCTCATAGTGATTCTAGGCAGGGCTTCTTACACTTCTTCTACTCTAGTCTCCCTTTCACCCAAGAAGTCTGCAATGTGGGCAAGCACTTCCAGAGACACCTAAGATTCTTTTCCTATTGGACTCTGAATTAATCTGGTCAGCGTGTGCTCAGAAACCTTTGACTGTTGCCAAATTTGTCACACACTCCACATTCAGTTACATGACCAGACCTGTGATCACAACTTACCGTTTGAGAAGGTTTCCTAGGCCAGAAACCTGCCCACAAGTTTTCAAGATTGTGATTATTAGGGAAGCCAACTGCCACCTCTTTCTCCCATGGAGTGGCTGATGACCTGGCTGCTAGGTGCCTCACCTCACTGCTGCACCACCAGGAATTCCTATGCATGGAGTTCAGTGCATAGAAAATGTGTGGAGCATTAGATTTCCTGGAGAAGATTTCATTGGGAATAAACCTTAAAATCTGATAGAAGGGAGTTAGAAGACGAAAGATGGGAAATGAAGCATTCCATGGGAAAAGCGTCATACCACGCAAACATGGGGGCTTGCAGTGGTGGGAAAGGAGCCCTGTTAGTGTAGTGGCTATGCACTGGGTTGCTAACTACAAGGTCTTAGCCACTCTCAGGGAGAAAGCCAAGGTTTTCTAGTCTCATAAAAAGTTACAGTCTTGGGAACCCAGAGAGGCAATCCTGCCCGGTCCTATAGTGGGCGATGAATTGGAATTGACTTGATGGCAATGAGGTGTTTTGAATACCATGGTAGGATAAAATGGAAAGGGTATGAAAATTAGGTAAGGATAAAGAGATTGGGGTGAGAAAATGGTGAGGGATGAGACTGGAGAGAGAAATAAGGTGATATTAGATATGAAAAACATGTACGTGTGCCATATGTTCATTTATAAAACAGCTATCAGTGTAGATACTGTATAAACTGTGATCCTTGAATTGGGAATATGATGCATTATAGAATGTAATTAACAAGCTTTGCAAATTTTCAGGAAATGTGTTCAACTTACACAATGGAAAGTTTCACAGACATTTGAATGACATGTACCTGGTTGATTTCCTCTTGATTTATTGCTTCTCAAGACAATCCAAGGTAGGTTTTGGTGCTCATAAACACTTATACTTCATTTTTTAAATGACCATACTTTAACTATAGGTGAGTGATACCATATAAGTTAGGTTTAAAGGCTATGAAACCTTACCCAATGTAAAAGGAGATCGGAAGGCAAAATACTTTACCATGAATGAGAAAGTGTATTTCTTTCCTTAAATCCAGGCAATAAAATCATCATTAAAAACATGCTGAAAGAATTACAGTCCTACAACAGTGTGATAAGATCTCTTACCCATTACACATAAATGCTATTACACATAATAATAAACAGAGGCCACACTCACTTTTTACATTATTCGCTAACTTCTTGACTTCATTAAGAATCCTGAAGCTTTTCTGAAGAGACCCTTTGGCACCTTCTTTTAATAAACCCCGAGGATGTGTTGCCTGTGGACATGAAAATAAGTCACAAGTATTACACCTCAGAATTATGGGAGAGGGATGCCAAAGAGGCACTTGGTGTGTGAAGTCTGCTTTCAGGAACGAGTTGTGGACTTAAATTGAGCTTGGTATCTCTTTGGCACATGGTTGGTCATTTAAGTCCAGGAGACTGCATACTGGGAGAGCGTGCCAAGAAAAGAACCTTTGTGAAACCAGTGTGGAAGAAGTGGGCAGAGGGCTGCAGTTGGTGGGGTAACTGAGGTTCCAGGGGGGTCAAGGAAAAACCAGGTGAGCCTATTACGGAAGTCAAGCCTGGCTCAATGCCTGGTCATGGTTGCATTGCAAGGGGGTTGTTCTTGGGCAACCTGACCTGTCACAACCGTATGGGTCTAAACCTGGACTACCCTCATCATCGTTGGCATGTTTGAGACCGCTGTTCCAATTGGTGTGTCAGTCCATCTCATTTAGGAGCTCCTTTGATTTTGCTAACTCTCTACTTTTCCACAAGTTTGGCCATGTACTCAGGAGAGGTCATGATGCTTGCTAAAGGAGAAGGTGGGTGAGAACGATGAAGAGTCTTGATGAGTTGGATTGGCACAGTTTGCCCAAACATAGCAATTACGAGGATGGCACAGGACCAGACAGTGTTTTGTTCTGTTGTACGAAGGATCACTAATTTGGAACTTAGGCATGATAATTAACACAGCTAGACAACCACAAACATTTTTTCCTTGGTATCTTGGTTTTAAGGCCTGTTCTGGAGCTTATTGGGGGCACAGATTCAGAAGATTGCATTAAATAGGCCACCTAAGCTCTAGTTTCTTAGATACAGTGTTCCACTATACTTTTAGCTACATAGTTATGCTAATATGTTAATTTATCATCCTGGTTTCAAATACTACAAGAATTCAGACGCATGAATGATAGGATAAGAGAACAGAGGTAAGACATATTTGCAAATGATGAAGTATTAAGTGACGTCCACGGGAAGCCGTCTATGGACCCATAGTGACTAGTTGGTTACATCTTGAGTGGCCTTTTCTAAGGTCAGTATTTCGAACATACCACCCATTAGAAGGAATCAAATCTTTTTTGTCCCTGGAAACCAAGTTCTTTGTACTATATGGTCACCATGAATTAGAATTGGTTAGACGGCTGTGGGTTTGTCTCTTTAGTATGAGAAGCTGTGCAGCATATACAGACACGACAAGTTGGTGGGAATCCAAAACAGCTGGGGAAGAGTGGAAAATAAAAAGCAAGCTGAAAAGTTCCACATACAGAAGGCGTGAGGGCAATTTAGAGTACTGGAAATGTAAGGCTTCATAGCAATTTTCATAAATATCTCGAAGATCTAAATTTTTCTTCTTCAAATTATGCAGTAAACATCTCAGAACACATTTTCATGGTATCAAACTAAAATTGTGAACATCTGAATTGTAGAAGGATATGTTTGACAGTGGAAGCCCAGAATTCGTTCACAGGTTCTCCACCTGGATTAAGTCTGGTGAATCCTCTCTGACCATAGTCAAGGTCAAGTGAACAGCTTTGCTATCTCTCATACAGAGAGCATTGAAAAGTTGATTAGGGAAGATGTAGTTAGGTTAAAATGTAATACCCCATCATTTGAGCTCTTTTTGACCCATTTTAAAGTTGTTTCAGTTTTTAACATTTTTCCCTTTCTTCTTTCAAAGCTGTCCCAGGCCACTCAATATTTTGCACGTAGAATCCTTTACTACTGAAACTTGGGGATTGATTTTTTTTGTCCCCTTCAGTTCTTCCTCCATTTTTTCAGCTTCAGCAATGCTGACTGTGCTCTTTGCTTTTAGTTTCCTAAATCCAGGTCTTTGCCATCTCATTATAAATGTGCTTTAGTAACTTTTGCTCTTAATCAGTCACAAACTAAGAAAGGTTTTAGAATTTGCTACTTTTGGGGCCAAGTGTGTCGGGTGCTATACCAAGAGCTTTCATTTAAATGACCTAATGCTCCGAGAACAGTATTGGAAACACCTACAGTTAAATCTAAAGGGACATTAGGCATCGATGCTGATTACCTGCCAAAAGAGCTGTTCTGACAACATTGGCAAGTTATTCTGTGGAAAACTGGCAGTGAAAACTGAAAACATAGGGATTCTTACTGCTACGGTTCACCTGAGGTATTAGATATAGTGATATCATATAGGTATCATTTATCTTGAAAAATAAAAGTAAAAACAAAATTATAGTCATTTAATTTTATTCAAAAAAGTATGCCTTAGACATTCATTTAATTCTAAATGTATTCTGAATTTATATATTGTTTTTATTTCCTCAGTTACAGGTTTTCTGAATTAAAACAGATTAGGGGCAGACATTATTAAACAGAAAGGTGAAGATTCTCTCAGTAGATGCATAAGAACAGAAGTGACTGCTGAAACTCGGACAACGAGGAAGGAAAATTAAAAATCAGAGAGAAGACTTTATAAAGCTCTGAAATCCAAATCAATTTGGGTAAGAGTAAACTGATTTTTGTAGGTCTTAGGAGATGCCAGTATTACAGTAGTAAAATAAATAACCTTGATAATGATGATTCTAAGGCATGAAGATCATATGAGACATTCATAATCACAGGGAGAATGAACCTAAACAAAGAAACACACACACACAACAATTGTCACTGTCATCCTGGGTATGAATGACTTTCTATGAGGTCAGAAGCTAGTAATCACATCAAAGTCATATATTTATAGCTAACCTTGGACAGCAACGTGAAATATGGAGGTTAGGAGAAACAGAAAACTGACTTGCTGCATACAGATTATTAAAGAGGACAGAAAAGAGCCAGAGGGATCACAGGACAAGGAACAAGGCTTGAGAGAGGGAAATGGCTGAGGACCTACAAACAGTGAAGCCAATAGTGCATGATTTGAAAAGTTTTAAAATACTTTCCAACAGCTTTATTGAAGTATAGTTGACACGCAGTAAACTGCATTTAAAAAACTCACAATGTAATACATTTCAACATAAGTTATGGATGAAAGTATGGTGTGTCCTCTAAAAAAGATATATTGAAAGTCCAACTTCCGTGAAGTACCTGCGAATATGAAACTATTTGGGAACAGGGAGTCTTCCCTTTGTTATGTTAATGAACCGCGCTCACACCAAAGTCCTTCTGACTGGTGTTTTAGACAGGGAGGTTCATCTACACGCAAAGGGGTCTAAGAGACTCCATCCAGTGAGGGTGTTACTTATAAGCCAGGCAATGCCCAGGGATAGAGAAACCGACTCAGAGCAGGAAGGTCCTTGTCCTGGAGCCAACAGAGTAAACAGAGGCCCGAATATGGACTGGACTCTGAGTTTGCGAAAAAATACATTCAGTTCTTCAAAATGCTGCTCTTATGGCACTTTGTTACAGCCCCGAGATGACATAGCCACCACGGAGAAGTCTTCCCCAGTCAAGAGGGACAGACACTAATCCCTTCTCTGGAATCTTTCTTTCCCTTCCAGCTTTCTTTGTCTTCCGTCCCCAGACAAATGCTGATCCGTCTCTAACACCATCAAGTAGTTTGCAGTTTTCTAGAATTTAATGAAAGAATGCAGTATGGACCCTTGTCAGGGTGTGTATTAGAATTAGAATAATACCAGCCTTATAGAATATGATGGAAATTATTTTACCCTCTTCAGTTTTCTGGAAGTATCCATTATAAACTCCTCAAATTCCTTAAATTCTTCAAGGAAAGCCACCTGGAAGTGAATCTGTATGTGCCTGTGTACAAAGTCTTTAATCAAAAATTGAGCTATTTAATAAATATAACCCTAAATCTACTGCCACGGAGTCTGTTTCAACACACAGGGCCTCGATCTGGGGCTCTGGAAACAATAAACTCGGACCAGGCAGCCAGTCTTGTTTTCGCCCACGGGGCAGCTCATGGGTTTGAACCACAGACATTTCAGTTAGCAGCCCAAGACCAAACCCCCGAATACAGAACTATTCAACTAATTTATTTGTTGGGCGTGAGCTGTGGTAGTTTGTGAGTTTGACAAATCTGTCCATTTTATTCAACTTGTTGATACCGGCTTAACCCACTTTTGTGGATTCAATTTTGCCTCCCTGAGCAGAGCCGCTACTGCCATGCGGAATCTGCACAGGAGCAGAGAGCCTTGCTTTTCTCCCTCAGAGTAGCTGATGAGTTTGAACTGCCACCTTAGCTTAAACACCATGCTAACGCTACTGCGCACGAGGGCTTATTTATTGGTTTAAAGTTGTTCCTATTTCTCTTATTATTCTTTACTATCTTCAAAAGTGATAGCAATCTCAACTGTTCTATTCCTGAAATTGGTTAATCGTGACTTTGCTGATAATTTTCTGAGTAGTTTGGTGGGCATATATTAACTTACTGATCTTCTATGGCCCCTGAGCTCCATTCAGCAACAAAATTGAGTGGTTGAAAGAATTATTTGCTACTGTCTTGTTTTCTTGCATTTTAAAACATTGCCTACTTTTTGGTCCCAAGTTAATTATTTCTTCCTGAACCTGCAGCTATGGGGGGATGAGGTATAGGCTAGGGACAGGGTAAAAATGAAAAAGGTGGCAAGAAATATTTGATGTGTCAACTCAAATATTTCAGTTTCTTGATACTGTAGAGTTTGTGAAGGGCTTGTAGTAGGGCGAGGCTGTTATGTAGACTGGATTCAATTTCTGGAATGTAAGAGCAAGAAAGACAGCATGGAGTCATTGAAAGTTTCTGACTTGAACCGAAAAGAGAAATAACATTACCAGAGTTGTAGTCCAAGAAGATGCAGTTGCAGCAGTACGGATAGGAAAAAGCCATAAGTGACCATGGCAGTAGTGGAGATTAGAACAAAAGAGAACTGTGACCTTGGCCAAGGGCAATGGAATATGGTTTTGTGTTTCCTGCCTAAAACACAAAATGAATAAGGTGGGAGGGAAAGTACAGGTAGCATATATTATCAGTTGGATGCAGTCTGCCAACAATCCTGGTTTAAAAGATATGTCTATCATATGCTAG